GTAATACTAATTTAAATTTGAAGATGATGAATTATCATTGATAATTGTGTTTGAGAGGAAGGATAACAGTCCTTATAGAGGGTTTACCCTGAAACTTTTACAATGAAATGATGTAATACATGGGATTTGTTTCAAAATAATCCAAAATAAATGGGAGGGGGTACTGAAAAGTATTATAGATAAAACAAGACTTGCCATGAGTTGGTGGTTATTGGAGCTACTTTCATTGACTTTTTATTTAATATAATTATATATAATTATTCATTATATTCTGTGTATATTACTAGGGATTTTCATGATAAAATGTTTTTAATTATTACTTGTACATTTTGCAATTATATCAAACTTAAGATCCTTAGAAGAATTTTTTTTGGCCGGCGCCATGGCTCACTAGGCTAATACTCCACTTGCGGCGCCAGCACCCCGGGTTCTAGTCCCAGTTGGGGCACTGGATTCTGTCCTGGTTGCTCCTCTTCCAGTCCAGCTCTCTGCTGTGGCCTGGGAAGGCAGTGAAAGATGGCCCAAATGCTTGGGCCCTGCACCCGCATGGGAGACCAGGAGGAAGCACCTGGCTCCTGGCTTTGGATCAGCGCATGCTGGCCGCAGCGGCCATTGGAGGGTGAACCAACGGAAAGGAAGACCTTTCTCTCTATCTCTCTCTCTCTCTCTCTCTAACTCTGCCTGTCAAAAAAAAAAAAAAGTTTTTTTTAATTACCAAGAAATCATGATTTTATAAGATGCTGTTGCTGTATTTATTGTGATTCTTTTAATTGCTAAAAAAAAAAAAAGAGAAAAGAAACTTGACACAATCTACTTGAGCAAGAAAGTTAGTTTATTTATTGACCAAACATAGAGTATCACACTCAACTTAATGCAATCACCAATATCCATTTTTCAGGCCTGCCAATATAAGACTCTATTCTCAGGCTCTAAATACTGGCTTCCTGGCAGTTCCAAACACTTTCATCATGGCTTTACATTCCTATGTGTAACATTCTCACATCATCAGTGCCCAGCACCAGAGAAAACAAGGTAGTCAGTGAGCATTCTCAACAGAATCTACAATATCACATTCGGTGGCCCAGCTTAGGTTATCACCCATCTTTCAACCAGACCCTGGAGCCAAAGTAATGACACCTGTTGAATAGATTGAACTCCTTGTCTGTCCTTTCGTTAGTTCTACAGAGAACACAATGATTGGCTTTGATCAATCAGGATCCACCTCCAGAGGTGAAAGTAGAGTCATCATACCCAAACTTTTTACACATAAGAATGGAGAAGGGGGGCTGGCTCTGTTGCGTAGTGGGTAAAGCCAATGCATGCAGTGCCAGCATTCCATCTTGGCGCCGGTTTGAGACCTGGCTGCTCCACTTCTGATCCAGCTCTCTGCTATGGCCTGAGAAAGCAGTAGAATTTGGCCCAAGTCCTTGGGCCCCTGCACCCACATGGGAGACCTGGAAGAAGCTCCTGGATCCTGGCTTCAGAGCAGCACAACTCCAACCGTTGCAGCCAATAGGGGAGTGAACCAACACATGGAAGACCTATCTCTCTCTCTCTGTCTTTCTCTCTCTCTCCCCGCCTCTCCTTCTCTCTGTGTGTAACTCTAACTTTCAAATAAACAATTCTTAAAAAAAAAAAAAATGGAGAAGGATGATTTTCTTTTTTTTTTTTAAGCTGACATAAGGAATTTATTTCGTAGAAAAGTAACATCTAGAGAAAGCCACAGGCAGCCCTAGTATTTCTACAGTACTATATATAAAATGACAAATGAAAATTTCTCACAAAGACAACACTGGAAGATACCAAAGCACTTTTTAAATCTAAGAATTCAAATTTTACTCAGAATGGTTTTACTCCTAACATAGATCCAAGTTTTAATACTCTGACATTTTGTAAACCTGTTAGGCAGTATACCCAATTATATACCATTTGGCAATATTCAACTTGGTGATCACTAAATCTGGTAATATAAAGACTTACTCATTATACTCATCTGGTATATCTCCACACAAATATTTTTAAATTCCAATATCTTTTTCAACTAGTAAACTGTTTGAATTATTTAAATATATTTAGATTTTTCTAGATAAAAACTAAGTTTTCTACACTTAACACAAAATCAAATGTACAACAAAATGTGGTAAGTGCTCACTGTGTTTTACAGGAATATTAATACTCTTACACAACGTTTATTTGCCTTTTTTTTTTACTTAATCTAAAAAATGCTCCCTATACACTGTAGCCAATTCTGTGATTTTTTTAAAAGAAATTTACACCTCCTAAATTCTCTGATTCTTCTTTCTTCCTTTTCTGGTACCTTAAATTCAGTATGAGCTTTACTGGTATCTCGCTGTTCATGTACATTCTTGATTTTTTTTTTTTTTTTTTGACAGGCAGAGTGGACAGTGAGAGAGAGAGACAGAGAGAAAGGTCTTCCTTTGCCATTGGTTCACCCTCCAATGGCCGCCGCGGCCAGTGCGCTGCGGCCGGCGCACCGCGCTGATCCGATGGCAGGAGCCAGGAGCCAGGTGCTTTTCCTGGTCTCCCATGGGGTGCAGGGCCCAAGCACCTGGGCCATCCTCCACTGCACTCCCTGGCCACAGCAGAGAGCTGGCCTGGAAGAGGGGCAACCGGGACAGAATCCGGCGCCCCGACCGGGACTAGAACCCGGTGTGCCGGTGCCGCTAGGTGGAGGATTAGCCTATTGAGCCGCGGCGCCGGCCGAGAAGGATGATTTTCTAAAGGAACATCAAATTACTACTACAAATACTTTATTACTACATTTTAAATCATATCATTTGACTTTTGGTATATACTCAATCTGTGTTACGCTACTGAATTTATGAATTTGCTTCACTTGAATATTGTGAATCATAAAACTTAAGTAGAAAATACGTAAAGTGTCATGCAAATAAATCTTGAGGATACATGTTACTTGCTAGCCAGTATCTATTCTCCCCTATTAGTAAGTATTTTCCAGTAAAACAAAGCCAATATTTTTATCTTTTTTAAAGATTTATTGGGACCAGCACTGTGGCACAGTGGGTTAACGCCCTTGCCTGAAGCGCTGGCATCCCATGTGGGTGCCAATTCTGGTCCCAGCTGCTCCTCTTCCAATCCAGCTCTCTGCTATGTCCTGGGAAAGCAGTAGAGGATGGGCCAAGTCCTTGAGCCCCTGCATCTGTGTGGGAAACCCAGAAGAAGCTCCTGGCTCCTGGCTTCCTTTGGCCATTGCGTCCATCTGGGGAGTGAACCAGCGGATGGAAGACCTCTCTATACCTCTACCTCTCTCTAACTCTATATTTCATTTGAAAGATGGAGTTTCAGAGGCAGAGGGAGAGAGAGGTCTTCCATCTACTGATTCATCCCCAAATGGCCACAACAGCCTGAGATAAGCCAGTCCAAAGCCAGGAGACAGGAGCTTCTTCTGGTCTCCCATGCATGTATAGGGGCCTAAGCACTTGGGACATCTTCTGCTCTTTCCCAGGAGCATTATCAGGGTGCTGGATCAAAAATGGAGCAGCTGGGACTCAAAATGGCACCCACATGGGATGCCGACACTGCAGGCAGCAGCTTTACCTGCTACGCCACAGAGCTGGCCCCAAAACCAGTATTTTTTTTTAACTTTTATTTAATGAATATAAATTTCCAAAGTACGGCTTATGAATTACAATGGCTTCCCCCCCATAACGTCCCTCCCACCCGCAATCCTCCCCTTTCCCATTCCCTCTCCCCTTCCATTCACATGAGGATTCATTTTCGATTCTCTTTATATACAGAAGATCAGTTTAGCATACATTAAGTAAAGATTTCAACAGTTTGCTCCCACACAGAAACATAAAGTGAAAAATAATAGATGATTTTTTTTTAAATGATGATGAAATCAGATCAGACCTATTGTCATGTTTAATCCCAGTGAGAGTCAAGTTGGGAATTGATAATTTCTTCTTTTTTTTTTTTTTTTACAGAAGATCAGTTTAGTATACATTAAGTAAAGATTTCAACAGTTTGCACCCCCATAGAAACACAAAGTAAAATATACTGTTTGAGTACTCGTTATAGCATTAAGCCTCAATGTACAGCACATTAAGGACAGAGATCCTACATGAGGAATAAGTGCACAGTGACTCCTGTTGTTGACTTTACAAATTGACACTCCTGTTTATGGCATCAGTAATCTCCCTATGCACCAGTCATGAGTTTCCAAGGCTATGGAAGCCCCTTGAGTTCTCCGACTCTTATCTTGTTTAGACAAGGTCATAGTCAAAGTGGAGGTTCTCTCCTCCCTTCAGAGAAAGGTACCTCCTTCTTTGAAGACCTGTTCTTTCCACTGGGATCTCACTCACAGATATCTTTCATTTACAAAACCAGTATTTTTAAAGACTTAATATGAGACATTGGCTGATGCCATCGTGGAGACTTAGAAGGCCCATGCGTTGCCACCTGTAAGCTAGACATGCAGAAAGATTAGTGAAACATAATGCAATCAAAGTCTGAAGGCTGAGAACTAGGGGGAATAAATCCCAATCAGAGGACAAAGGATAAAATGAGATGCCCCAGCTTAAACAGTGAGGCATGAAAAAGGGGTTAATTCCTCCTTCCTCCGCTTTTTTGTTTCACTGAGTGTATGATGCCCACCCACACTGGGGAGGGCAGCCTGCTTTACCTCATCTACCAATTTAAATGCTAATCTCAACTGGAGACACCATCATAGACACACAGAGAAATCTGGGAACTCAGTGGCCCAGTCAGGTTAACACTCGAAATTAATAATGATCCCTCCTCACTAGTAATAGTAACCTAATGAGACAGCGTCATTTCAGTATTAGGACTATACTTATAATATTGTTATAAAAATTTTCCACTGTACCTAAGAGAGGCAATTTAAAAATTAAAACATTTTTAATTAGTTGGAGTTTCATTGTTACTACCTCTGTATGATTACTACCATACCATCTAAAGCTTATTTTCAGATATGTTTTTATTTTTATCTCTTTCAGGGCTTATTTCATATACTGAGTATCTTTTCTTGCTTACCATCCTCACTAGTAAGTATCCCACGTATGGAAACTCTCTGTTCTTTTTAAGCAAGATTTTTGTATGTTTGGCATTTATGTCTTTATCATTAAATATATTATTGGTTCTTTGATTTTGTATCTACAAAATGATGGTGTTGGGTTAGATTATCCTCCTTCTACCTCCCATGCAGTATGGCACCTATAACTTTGCCTGCTTAATAAAAGGCTTGTTGAACAGAAGAATTAGAGTTAAATTTTGCCTAGGAATATTAAAAACACTCTGCTTAGACTATACAGAATTTCTGCCCAAAAAGTTTGAAGGTCACACTAAGCCAGTGAGAAACTTTTATAGATTAGAGAAACTAAGGAAACATACCAACCTGCGCAACATGTGTCTTATATTTGATACTAGAATAGAAAAACAGCATTAGTGAAAAAGCATGAAATCCAAACAGAACTGATAGTTTAGTTAATCATGCTATACCAATATTAATGTCTTAGTATTGATAAATATGTTATGGTTATGTAAGATGTTAACATCAGAGAAAGCTGGGTGAAGGGAGTATGGGTGCAACATTTCTGTAGATTCAAAATGATTACAAAATAAAACTCTAAAAAAAAACTGACTCTGAGATAGGGAGGTACAGAATAATAGTCAACATGAAAATGGGTGGATCCTATAAGCATTTATCAAAGCCCCTACTAAAACTAAAGAAATAAATCAAGTTCTCTAATTTTTTTCATTGAACCTCCGAACACTAAATAGCAGAACAACAGCACCGTGGAAGGGTGCTGGACTAGGCAGGGAAAAAGCCTTCATCTTAAATATTAGCCTTTGAAAATTGTTTTCTGGAGAGAATATTCCCTTTGTTGAGGTGCTTATTATATAGTAGTTTATTTCAAAGTTGAAGATCTATCTTCTACAGATAATTTATATTTTATTTTACATTTAAATAATATTCATTTTTCGTTTCATTGCAGAACCCCATAGTGGATTTCATGTTGCTTTTAAAATGCTGGATGCAGATGGTAATGAGATGATTGAGAAAAAGGAATTTTTTAAGGTAAGGAGATACTGGTTCTTTTCACTTTCTCACAAAACATCTGGATGCTTGGGTGATAATTCTACATTTCCATCCAAATCAAAATTCTATTCACTTTACATATGAAATGTCAAAAGTAATTTGTACGTTCAAAAATACTGAGTTTTCTTTAATATTACCTTGAGGAAACCAAAGCATCAGATTCTATAAAGAGAAATAATTGTTTTTTAAAGATTTATTTATTTATTTGAAAAGCAGAATATAGAGAGAAAGAAAGACAAAAGGAGAGCTCTTCCATACACTGATTCATTCCCCAAATTGCTGCAAAGGCCAGTGTTGGACCAGGAAGAAGCCAGGAGCTCAGAGCTTCATCCAGGTCTCTCATGATGGGGGAAGGGGCCCAAGTACTTGGGCCATCTGCTGCTGCTTTCCCAGGCATGTCAGCAGGGATTTGGATCAGAAGTGCAGCAGCCAGGACTCAAATGAGCACCTGTATGGGATGTGGACACTGCAGATGACAGCTCAACCTACTATGCCACAGTGCTGGCCCCAAGAAATAAATTTAAGCATTTAAGTTATTTAGAGTTTTGTTCTTGTTATTTCTGTAAACAGTAATACAGTAAAAATGGCTTTACTGATACATACCCTAAGAATCTGCATTAAAAGATATGTTAAAAAGTATTTTATATAATTTATTATTTATATAAGCTGAACAAATTTCATGCATTTTTATAGACAGATTTAGGAGCATATAGTGATACTCCTAACCTGACCCTGCCTCCCACACTCCCACTCTTCTTCCTTCATTATTCTTTAATTTTTACAATGACATACTTTCAGTTTATTTTATAATCATAAGCTTACTCTACTAAGTAAAGAATTCAACAAATAATAAGAAGAAAAAATGCTGTTCCTCAACAGCAGAGACAAGGGCTGAAAACAATAACCAAATCTCAAATGTTAATTTTGTAAATATGTATTGAAGTTTTTTGTATTCTATTACATTTCAAAGAAAACATGATATTTGTCTTTTTGGCACTGGCTTATTTCACTATAATGGTTTCCAGTTGCATCCATTTTGTTGTAAAAGACAGGATTTCATTCTTTTTTATGACTAAGTAGTATTTCATAGTGTATATATACATTTTCTTTATCCAGTCATCAGGTGATGGACAGCTAGGTTGATTCCATATTTTAGCTATTTTGAATTGAACTATAATAAACATGGAGTACAGATAACTCTTTCATAAGCTGATTTCAGTTTTTTTGGGTAAATTTCCAGGAGTGGGGTGGCTGGATAATATAGTAGATCTGTTTTCAGATTTCTAGAGAATCTGCATACTGTCTTCCACAATGGCTGTACTAGTTCACAATCCCATCAGTAATGGATTAAGGTACCTATTTCACCATATCCTCACCAGCATTTACTGTTTGTTGATTCATCCCATGCTAACTGGGATGAGGTGAAACCTCATGTTGGTTCTGATTTGTATCTTCCTGATGGCTAGTGATCCTGAGCATTTTTTGTGTCTGTGGCCATTTGAATTTCATACTTTGAAAAATGCCTGTTCATGTCCTTTGCCAGTTTCTTAACTGCATTATTTGTTTGTTGTTGCTGAGTTTCTTCAGTTCTTTATAGATTCTGGATATTAATCTTTTATCAGTTGCATAGTTTGCAAATATTTTCTCCCATTCTGTTGGTTGTCTCTTCACTTTCTTGAGTGTTTCCTTTGCAGTGCAGAAGGTTCTCAGTTTGATGTAATCCTGTTTGCCTATTTTTGCTGTTATTTCCTGTGCTTCTGGGATATTTTCCAAGAAGTCCTTGCCTATGCCAATGTCTTGCAGAATTTCCCCAATGTTCTCTATTCAGTGGTATCAGATCATAGATTTAGATCTTTGATCCATTTTGAGTTGACTATTTTTGTATATGGTGTAAGGTAGGAGTCTTGTTCCATACTTCTGTATGCAGAGATCCAGTTTTCCCAGCACAATTTGTTGAAGAGACTTTCCTTTTGTCAGGAATTGATTTTTTCTCCATTATCAAAGATTACTTAATTGTAGATGTATGGATCAAATTCTGGGGTTTCTGTTCTGTGCTCCATTGGTCTACATGTACATTTTTGAGCCAGTACCAGCATGTTTTGATTATAACTTCCCTGTAGTGGGTCTTGAAAACTGATATGATACCTCCAGCTTTGATTCTTGTCGTTTAAGATTGCTTTGGCTTTTCAGGGTCTCTTGTCTTTCCAAATGAATTTTTAGCATTGTGTTTTCTAGATCTAAAAATGTCATTGGTATTTTGATTGCGTTCATATTGAATCTGTAAATTACTTTCAGTAGTATGGACATTTTGATATTAATCCTTCCAATCCATGAACATGGAAGATTTTTCCATATTTTTAGTGTCTTCGTCTTTAATGTTTTCTAATTTTCATTGTAGAGAACTTTCATCTCATTGGTTAAATTTTTTCCAAGGTATTTAAATTTTTTGTTGTTATTATGCATGATATTGATCTTATAAGTTCTTTCTAAGCCATGGCATTGTCTGTGTATACAAAGGCTATTGATTTTTGTGTGTTAATTTTGTATCCTGCAACTTTACCAAATTTTCTTATGAGTTTCAATAGGCTCTCAATAGGCCTTTTGGTTCTCCTGTGTATAGAATCATGATATTTGTAAACAGGAATGATTTGGCTTCCTCCTTTTTGATTTGTATCCCTTTGATTTGTTTTTCTTGCCTAATGGCTCTAAAACTTCCAGAAATATATTGAATAGCAGTGGTGAAAGTAGGCATTCTTGTCTGGTTCTGAATCTTAGTGGAAATGCTCCCAACTTTTGCCCACTTAATATGATGCTGGCTATGGGTTTTTCATATATTGCCTTAATGTGTTGAGGAATGTTCTTTCTATTTGCTTAATGTTTTCATCATGTAAGGATGTTGTATTTTATCAGATGCTTTCTCTGCATCTATTGGGATACTCATATGGTTTTTATTCTTCAGTTTGTTAACGTGATATGTCACATCTGTTGATTTGCGTATGTTGAGTGATTTCTGCATACCAGGGATAAATCTCACTTCTTCCAGGTGAATGATTTTTCTGGTGTATTGTTGGATTTAATTAGCTGGTCTTTTGTTGTAATCATTTGCATCTATGTTCATCAGTGATATAGGTCTATAGTTCTCATTCTTTGTTATATCTTTTTCTGGTTTGAAATTAAGGTGCTACTGGCTGGCGCAACGCACTGATCTGAAGGCAGGAGCCAGGTGCTTCTCCTGGTCTCCCATGGGGCGCAGGGCCCAAGCACTTGGGCCATTTTCCGCTGCACTCCCGGGCCACAGCAGAGAGCTGGACTAGAAGAGGGGCAACCGGGACAGAATCTGGCGCCCCGACCGGGACTAGAACTCAAGGTGCCGGCACCGCAGGCAGAGGATTAGCCAATTGAGCCGTGGCGCCAGCCCTAAATTAAGTTTATATATGTTGACCATCTCTAAAAGTGATCTGGAAGAGTATGTATAGATATAAACATATGAGGGAAATAGGGTAGGTGATTTTAGAGCAAAAATATAGATACTTGCAAAGCAGTCTTACAAAGTTTTTGTGATTTTTCCAGTCTTTACAATATTAACCTAATTAAAAGCAAACTTTTTAGCAGTGTGCTTTTATCTCACCACTCTAAAGCATTTACCTCATTTTTTATAGAAACAGCTCTTTTCAGATCGTTTTTCAGTGATATCAGTTGTTGCACTGTTACAGATGGGACCACAGATAGGAAGAGAACATACACACACACTGAAAGTTCTTCTTGGGTCTGACTAGGGAATGTAAACTCAGTGAGGCAGAGTATACCTTGAACAGGCACATGGTTTCCTTAACACTGGGTTTCTGTTGGGGCCAGGTCCTAACAGACATAACCCACTTAACTTTTTGCTTTTATATTTGGAGGTTATATTACCATGCAGAAGAAAGTCACATGGTCTCTCTACTTAATGCTTCCAGTTCAGATTCTGCTGGTTTTTTGAACCAGACTCAGTTGTCTTTAAAGCTACATATTCATCCAGGCAACAAAAAAAACAACTTATGTCCCAGTGCCCCAACTTCTGCCTCCAACTTTCCGATGTTTCCAAAAAACTCCATTACATGAAAGTAATATTTAATAGGAATGAAGTAATTATAACAAGTATAATAATTGTAATTGGTTTGCAAACACAAAAGACCTACCTGAACTCATCTTCTAGGAGCTGGAATGTGCAAGCTTGTGTGAGATTCCCAATAGCTTCAGATACACATATGCTGCTTTTCATGATTAAATTATTAAATTCTACAGAAAGAATACAGAGCATTGATTAATCCGGTGAATGATTATGTAGAGACCAGTTAAGACTGTTTTTAATACATTACATTGAATAAAAATAGCTCAATATAAAATTTTAGGAATTTAGATTCTAGAATATTATTTACAAGCATAAGTATTGGCAACTTTTAATATCTAGGTGCAATTACTTCTTAAGTAGAATCTTGAAGTAACTTAAGTGGAATCTTGAAGTTAATTCAATGGTGTTTTTCCTTTCATTAATAAAACATGCATGTTATATATAAAATATCAGCCAAGTATGTTGCCAAATTCTAGAAAGGCATCTGAAAAAAATACAGAAAATTTATGCTTGACACCAAACCATATATACCTTTGCATTTTGTATGTGGTGTTAATTTGGTGTACTTCATAAAGCACATGAAAAATATTCAAAAAAAGCAACTGAAATAATCAAAGACGGGTATATATGAAGACCTGTCTTTTTTCTATTGGCACTGATTTTTTAATTTTTACTTTTTTAATTTTATTTAAGGTATACAAATTTTTTTTTCATATATCCAGATTTAGGAACATAGTGATGCTTCCCACACTCCCACCCTTCTTCCTCCTCCCTCTCCTATTCCCACTCTTAATTTTTTTTTTTTTTTGACAGGCAGAGTTAGACAGTAAGAGAGAGAGAGAGAGAGACAGAAAGGTCTTCCTTCTGTTGGTTCTACCCCAAATGGCTGCTACAGCCGGTGCACTGCACTGATCCAAAGCCAGGTGCCAGGTACTTCCTCCTGGTCTCCCATGTGGGTGCAGGGCCCAGCACTTGGGCCATCCTCCACTGCCTTCCCGGGCCACAGCAAAGAGCTGGACTGGAAGAGGAGCAACCGAGACAGAATCCGGCGCCCCAACTGGGACTAGAACCCGGAATGCCAGCACCGCAGGCAGAGGATTAGCCTAGTGAGCTGCGGCGTCGGTCCCCACTCTTAATTTTTATAAAAATCTATTTTCAGTTTACTTAATACTCATAAAATTACTTTATACTCATAAGATTAACCCTACACTAAGTAAAGAGTTCAACATATAGTATGCAGGAAAAAAGCACTGCTCCTCAACAGTACAGACAAGGGCTATAAACAATCATAGAATCTCAACATGTCAATTTTACTCCAATACATTACATTTTAGGTTCTCTATTAGTTACCACAGATAAGGGAAAGCATATGATATCTATCTTTTGGGGACTGTATAATTTCACCTAAGAAGAGTGGTTTCCAGTTGTGTCCATATTGTTGCAAAAGACAGGATTTCAGTTTTTTAATTGCTGAGTAGTACTTCATAGTGTAGATATACCACAATTTCTTTATCTAATTGTCAGTTGATGGACATCTAGGTTGATTCCATATCTTAACTATTATGAATTGAGGTGCAATAACCGTGGTAGTACAAATAACTCTTTCATATGTTAATTTCATTTTGTTTGTGTAAATTCCTAGGAGTGGGATGGCTGGTCATATGGTAGATCTATTTTCAGATTTCTGAGGTATCTCCATACTGTCTTCTACAGTGGCTGCACCAGTTTACATTCCCACCAATAATTGATTTCTATATGAGAGCCATTCTAAGTGGGGTGAGGTGAGACCTCATTGTGATTCTGATTTGCATTTCCTTGATGGCAGGAGATCCTGAGCATTTTTTCATGAGTCTGTTGGCCATTTGAACTTCATTTTTTGAAAAATACCTGTTCAAATGCTTTGCCCATTTCTTAACTAGATTGTTTATTTTGTTGTTGTTGAGTTTCTTGAGTTCTTTATAGATTCTGGATATAATGCTTTATAAGTTACATAGTGTGCAGATATTTTCTCCCATTCTGTCAGTTGCCTCTTCGCTTTGTTGACTGTTGCCTTTGCAGTGCAGAATCTTCTTAACATGAGGCAATCCCATTATCCCATTTATCAATTTTGGCTCTGCCTATGCTTCTGGGATCTTTGCCTATGCCAATGTCTTGCAGAGTTTCCCAACATCCTCTAGTGGTTTGATGGTATGGGGTTGTAGATCCATTTGGAGTGGATATTTGTGTAAGGTGTAAGGTTGGGGTCTTGTTTTATACTTAGGCATATGAAGTTCCAGTTTTCCCAGCACAGTTTGTTGAAGAGATTGCACTTGTTCCAGGGATGGATTTTAGCTACTTGTCAAAGATAAGTTGGTAGGGAACATGCATTGATTTCTGGAGTTTCTATTCTGTTCCATTGGGCTACATGTCTCTTTTTTTTTTTTTTTTTCTGTCAGTACCAGGCTGTTTTGATTATAACTGCCCTGTAGTATGTCCTGAAATCTGGTATTGTGATGCCTCTGGCTTTGTTTTTGTTGTATAAGAGTGCTTTAGCTATTCAGGGTCTCTTATATTTCCATATAAATTTTAGTATCATTTTTTCTAGATCTGAAAAGAATATCATTTATATTTTGATTGGGATTGCATTGGTATTGTGGACATTTTTAATGATATTAATTCCTTCATACTTTAAACTTTTGCTGGGAGATTTTCTGCCTTCCTATTCTTTCACAGTGATGACTATCTTTCTGTGCTTCTCTGTGTATAGCATATCCTTCAGCATCATTTGTAAGACTGGATGAGTGGTAACAAATTCTTTCAATTTCTTTTTGTTATGCAAGGGCTTTATTTCACGTTCACTCATAAATGAGAGTTTTTGGGGCCAGTGCTGTGGCATATCAGGTAAAGCTGCCACCTGTGGCGCTGGCATCCCATGTATGGACACCAGTTCAAATCCTCTTCCAATCCAGCTCTCTGCTATGGCCTGGGAAAGCAGAAGAAGATGGCCCAACTGCTTGGGCCTCAGCCACCCACATGGGAGACCTGGAAGAAGCTCCTGGCTCCTGGCTTTGGATTGGCTCAGCCCTGGGTGTTGTGCCCATTTGGGGAGTGAGCCAGCAGATGGACAAGCTTTTGCTCTGTCTCTCCTTCTCTCTGTAACTCTGCTTCTCAAGTAAATAAATAAATCTTTAAAAATAAAGAAAAGAGTGCTCTGCAGGGTACTGTATTCTAGAATGACACTTTCTTTTTCTTAAGACTTGGACTCTGTCTCTCCATTTTCTCCTAGCCTGTAAGGTTTCTGAAGAGAAGTCAGAAGTGAATCTAATCCTCTGAAAGTAATCTGGCATTTCTCATGCACATTTGAGGATCTTTATGTTTTACTGTTGAATGTTTGACTACAATTGTCATGATGTCATCTTTTATGGTTATGTTCTGTGTGCCTCATGTACTTAGACATCCGTTTCTCCTTTTCTGCTATTGATTCACTGAATAGGCCTTCTAATCCATTCTCGCTTTCCACACCTTTAGGAATTCCTAAGACCTATATGTTGGGTCATTTGATTGTATCCTATAAATCTCTTAAGACTGTTTTTAGTGTTTTCTTATTTCTTCTTTTTTTGGTCTGTTTGAAAAATTTCCAAAGATTTGTCTTCTAGCGCAGATATTCTTTCTTCTGCCTCACCAAGTCTGCTGTTAAGGCTTTCCACTGTATTTTTTTACATACCGTATTTGTCATTTCTAATATTTTAGTTTGATTTATCTTTAAAATCTCAATTTCATGGGAGAATTTTCATTCATGTCATATATAGATTTCCTTAATTCATAAATTTGCTTCTCATTGCTTCTGAATAATCCTATGATTAATCTTTTGAATTCTGTTTCAGGCATTTCTTCAGTCTCTTCATCTTCACATTCTAATATTGATGTGATATTGTGTTCCTTTGCGGGGGGGGGGGGGGGTGAGGGCCATGTTATCTTCCTTATTGTATTGTGTGAATTTCTACATTTATATTTAGGTATTTGTGGAAGTACATGCTGGTTTTTTTTCCTCTGATTGTTTTTGTCTTTGAACTATGCCTGTATGGCTTAGTGAAATGTCTGCTCTTTCACTGAAAACCCAGAGGTATGCTGAGTGTGGCAAGGGAGCTCTGGCCAATGCTTATGGGTGGGGTGAGAATCCAGGGTGACACCCAACTAGAGTGTGGTAGATGTCCTTTTATTAACAAAAGGGGGAGGTCTACGATCACCTCTGTTGTCGTAATCAGACCCTCACCTCCTCTCTTCTAAGGTGATCAGTGTCCAGGTTTAGCCCTCAATGGGTGCAATACTTATACATGCCTCCAGTTGAACTGCACAAAGGATGTGCGCAGTCCTCAGTTTAGTACAGATCTTACTGCAGTGACCCACTCCAGGCAATCAGAGAGCCCTGAGCTTAGGGAACTATTCACAGTGATTTCCCAGAGACCCAGCTACACCCTGTGCCCTCGTGTGCAGTCACAGAGTACCCACATTCTCAGCACACAAGGCTCCTACAGTGACGGGGTGCAGAAGATCCATTCTTCATACCATAAGCCTGCCCTGTCTGTGGAGAGAGTAGAGACGTTCCCAGAACCAGCTGCCTCTGGGTGTTCCACCTGGACTTGAGCCCCAGAGCCTGTGAAAGGTTGAGGGGATGGGAGCACTTCACAGTCCTAAATATGAAAAAAGACTAGGAGTATTCATAATCAGAGTCTAAAAAGTCATGAAATAAGGCCACAGATTGCAGAACACCAACATGAAGGAGACAACTGGTTGAAACCTAACAGGTTAAAATTTACAGGAGCTGGCACTGTAGCACAGCAGGTTAAGCCACTGTCTTCAGTGCCAGCATCACATATGGATACTAGTTCTGATCCAGCTCCCTGCTAATGCGCCTCAGAAAGCTGCGGAGAATGGCCCATGTGTTTGGGCCCCTGCCACCCATGGGGGAGACTCAGATGTTTCTGCCTCCTGGCTTCACCCTGGCCCAATGCTGGCTGTTGTGGCCATCTGGGGAGTGAACCAGTGGGTGGAATATATCTCTCTCTTTAACTCTTTCAAATAAATAAATCTTTTTTTTAATTATGTTATTTGTAAGAAACAAGAGTTCGAAAAACATTGTCTGATTATAAAGTCATTGTGAACAAATGTTAGCAAATCTAGGTATTTCCAAAGAAGCAGTGTGGGTAAAGTTTATCATATTGATTCATAAAAGCAGTCTAAATTCCACCAAGGAGTTAAAGGTATGTGTGACAAGACAAAATGGAGAGAACCAAGTAATTCTAGATAACATAGCTCTTGCTCATGACCTCAAGTTAAAAAAAATACTCAAAAATCAAAGAAAGGAAATACTAGTCAGTCGTAAGTTCACTGTGAATTCAGGCTAAAGAAAGCAGAAAAAAATATTGCTGTGTTTGTCATGAACACTGATTAAATAACATTCATTTATGGTCTCTTGGGAAATACGTTATAAAATGTGGAGCGCTCGTGTTGCTGCTGTTGGGAAGCACAGCTGAAGTGTGAACATCTGTTCATCTCCAGAAAGTGGAATCTCTAATGTGAACTGTACCCTACTGCCAGGAGACAGTCGTCATGGAGATAATTGCACTTCAGTGTTCCAAATTCTGTCTCTGGCTGCAGTATGAAAGATGAATTTAAAAAAGAGAGATTGAGGGTAGGGAAGCTCTAAGGCTGTTTCAGTAGTTCACTTTACAACTCCGGATGAAAAGTGGGAAGTACATTGAAGAGGTAGCATGGAATAACTTGAGAACATGGTTTCCAATTGGATTAGAGCATGAGAGGCAATTTTTTTTTCAGCTACCTGATTAGAAATAATTAATTATTTCTCTTAGAATAGTCTGAGAGAAGACTATCCCTTATTGAGGACTGGTTATATCTAATATGTGTTATATAACTGAATCTTTAAAGCAACCTACAAAATATGCAGTAATAGCCCCAATTTAAAAATGACAAAATTGATACACAGTCAGTGTTCTAGCCATGATTTGATTCAAAATCCATCTTCTAATTCTAAAGCCCTGTTTTTCCTTTTTGTTATCCTGTCACACTGGGAGAAGAATTGAAAGAGGGACTGGGTTGAGAAAGATCTTAACTCTTTTGGGAATGTAGAGCTTGGTACACAGGCCATCCATGTCCTAGCAAGCAGCTTTCTAGAGATTAAGATGACAGCTAGGACCAAAGAATAGAGGTGATAATTCAAGCAAGAAAATGTAGAGTAAAAAGCTGAAAGCCAGAGCTTTGGAGAACAGTGTGCAATTTAACAGATCCAGCTGAGGTTGAGAAGTCAAAGATGAAATTGAAAAGGGAGCAGAGTGTCAGAATCAGAAAAACCCAAGAGTGCAAGATAATGGAATCTTAGGAAGAAAAGAGCAACCAGGAGAGAGTGTTTAATATCAGACTTTGTAAGAAGCAGTCAAATCAGATAGAGACTAAGTAGAGAGCCTTAAATTTTGTAGGTCAGTAGGCACCATTAAGAAGCAGTTTCAACAGAGTGGGTTAGGACTGACGCCATGGAGCAAAGGTGAAAAGGAGTTAATAGGAATGTAAAATTGATGGCAGAAGCTAAAAAATATTTTTGAGATACTTGAAAATATGTTTGTATAAGGAGGACCTGAAATACCAGTGCCTTCATAAGTTTCAGGTAGCCTTCAGCTACCAGTGTACCTCAGGAGCAACAAACAAAAACATGTAAGACTGCTATTCAGAGGAGCTCCTGGAATAAAAGGGTAATGATACATAAAGGTGAAATTCTACTAGATTAATTAAGCTGTTAAGAGTCTGCACTCATCTAATTCTCTCAGACCTGGATGTACTTGCATGTACTTTCTGCTTTTATTCCTGGGAGTTTCAAGGTAGAGGGAGCCACATCTTCAAGTACTGTACCCACTCTACATATGAGAGTTCTTCAGAAGGTGTGTGGAAAATGGAATTAAAAGATGTTCATTTTGGTGTAAAAAGATGTTTTTGAAATAGTACATAGAAGGACTCTTCAGAAAGTTCATGGACATACACATATTATGAAGGCTGGATTTCAGAAGACTTTTGCACCAAAATAAACTTAACGTTTTAAATTTATTTTTCAAAAAGCTTTTTGAAGTACTCTCCTGTATCCCTATGATAGTGAAGGTAGTCGCCAGTATTATAAAGTGAGCGTGGTAAGCAGCGTCACTGTTGTAATTTCCTGGACCATAACTTTTGATGTGCTGTAGTAATGTCTGATGGTGATATAAGGCCAAATCACAAAGCCTGCAGATAAGAGACACTGAGAGTAAAAGTGGGAAAAAGGCAGTAGATTGCATGACCTCTTACCGTGCATAGAGCCTCTACTCCTGCAGTTGTTGCATATACATACTTTAAAAGTTTTTCAAATACATTTTTCATGTTAATATGCTAAATTAATGGAAAAGTTTCTGAAAGCTACATGATTTTCCTTAAGTGTTCAGAAAAATAATCATCAACCCATGAAGTCTGATAACATGAAAAAGAGTTATGTTAGGATTTATCACAGATTTGTTTGGTTTTTTGAAGTTTCAAGTCATAAAGATCAATCTTATAAGACTATAAAAGTTTATTTGTGCTGATTATAGAAATGAAACACTGGCATTGTGGCACAGAGGGCTAATCTGCTCCCTGCAACACTGGCATAACATATCGTAGTGCCGGTTCAAGTTCTGGCTGCTCTATTCCCAACCTTGTTAATGAATGCACTTGGGAAAGAAGTGTAAGATGGCTCAAGTGCTTGGGCCCCTCCTACCAAGTGGGACACCTGGATGAAGTTCCAGGCTCCTGGTTTTGGTCTGGCCCAGCCCTGGCTATTGAGTCCATTTGGGAACTTAACCAGCAGATGGAATATCTCGATTCTGTCTGTCCCTCCTGCCTCCCCACGCTCTACTCTCCTCTGTAACTCTGCCTTTCAAATAATTTTTTTTTTGACAGGCAGAGTGGACAGTGAGAGAGAGAGAGACAGAGAGAAAGGTCTTCCTTTTGTCGCTGGTTCACCCTCCAATGGCCGCCGCAGCTGGCGCGCTGCGGCCGGCGCACCGCACTGATCCGATGGCAGGAGCCAAGTACTTCTCCTGGTCTCCCATGGGGTGCAGGGCCCAAGGACTTGGGCCATCCTCCACTGCACTCCCTGGCCACAGCAGAGAGCTGTCCTGGAAGAGGGGCAACCGGGACAGAATCCGGCACCCCGACTGGGACTAGAACCTGGTGTGCCGGCGCCACAAGGCGGAGGATTAGCCTAGTGAGCCGCAGTGCCGGCCCCAAATAAATGTTTTTAAATGAAACACTAGGACTGGTGTTGTGGCGTAGCAAGTTAAGCCACCACCCACAATCCCAGTATCCCATGTGGATGCTGATTTGAGACCCAGCTGCTCCACTTCTGATCCAGCTGCTTCCTAACAGGCCTGCAAAAGCAGTGGAGGATAGCCTGAGTGCTTGGACCCCTGCACCTGTGTGGGAGACCTGGAAGAATCTCTAGGCTCCTTGCAGCCATTTGGGCAGTGAACCAGCAAATGGAAGCACAATCTGTCTGTCTCTGTCTCTCCCTCTCTGTAACTCTGCCTTTCAAATAAATAAAAATAAATCTTTAATTTAAAAAAAATGAAGCATGTTGCTGAGTGAAATAAGCCAGTCCCAAAGGGACAAATATCATATATTCTCCCTGATCGGTGACAACTAACCGAGCACCAAAAAGGAAACCTGTTAAAGTGAAATGAACACTATGAGAAAGGTTGACTTGATCAGCCCTTGCCCTGACTGTTGATGAACAACTTAATAAGTTATCCCTCTTAGTATTTTTTTTTGTTTGTTCTACTTAATACTTTTTGTTGAATTCTGTAATCAATACACAGTTATTCTTAAGTGTTGAAACTTAACTAAAAAGTGATCGCTGTTAAATATAAGAGTGGGAATAAGAGAGGGAAGAGATGTACAATTTGGGACGTGCTCAAGCTCACTTGCCCCAATCGATAGAGTTAGAAACATACAAGGGGGTTCCAATTCAATCCCATCAAGGTGGCATGTACCAATGCCATCTCACTAGTCCCAGTGATCAGTTTCTGTTCACAATGGATCATAATGATAGGACTAACAGCCAAAGGGAGCACATAAACAAGACTAGTGTCTGCAAATACTAACTGATAGAATAAAAAAGGGAAAGAACGATCCAACATGAGAAGCGAGATACTCAGCAGACTCATAGAATGACAGATGTCCTAAACAGCACTCTGACCTCAAAATCAGCCCTTAAGGCATGCGGATCCAGCTGAAGAGCCCATGAGAGTATTTCAGGCATGGAAAGCCAAGACACCCTGGAAAAAAAAAATGACCTAAATGAAAGATCTCCACAAGTGAGATCCCAGTGGAAAGAACAGGTCATCAAAGAAGGAGGTACCTTTCTCTGAAGGGAGGAAAGAACTTCCACTTTGACTACGACCTTGTCTAAATGTGATCAGAGTCGGTGAACTCAAAAGGCTTCCATAGCCTTGGAAACTCATGACTGGTGCATAGGGAGATTACTGATGCCATAAACAAGAGTGTCAACAACAGGAGTCACTGTGCACTTACTCCTCATGTAGGATCTCTTTCCTTAATGTGCTGTACATTGTGATTTAATGCTATAACTAGTACTCAAACAGTATTTTTCACTCTGTGTTTCTGTGTGGGTGCAAACTGTTGAAACCTTTACTTAATATATACTAAACTGATCTTCTGTATATAAAGATAATTGAAAATGAATCTTGATGAGAATGGAAGGGGAGAGGGAGCGGGAAAGGGGAGGGTTGCGGGTGGGAGGGAAGTTATGAGGGGGGGAAGCCATTGTAATCCATAAGTTGTACTTTGGAAATTTATATTCATTAAATAAAAGTTAAAAAAAAGAAAAAAAATGAAGCATGTTGCATTAAGTCAGTTATGAAAAATGATATTGTGGGGCAGATGTTTTGGGGCAGTGAGTTAAACCACCTCTTAGGACATCTATATCCCTATCTCAGTGCTGATTTAAGTCTCAGCTACTTTGCTTCCAATCTATGCACCTAAGAAAGCAGTAGATTCTGGCTCAAATACTTGAGTCCCTACCACCCACGTGAGAGACCTGAATATAGTACCTGGCTCCTGGCTTCAACCTGGCCCAGCCCAGCTGTTGCAGGTATTTGGGGAGTGAACAAACAAATGAAAGATCTCTATCTACCTGTCACTCTACCTTCAGATAACATAAATAAATTTTTCTTAAAAAAATACCTTTACATGAATTATTTGAGTAATTATTTGATTTACATGATCCTTACATTAGTAAACTTAAGTGTGTAGCATCTTATTATTTGAAATTTTCATGAAATAACTGAAGTTATTTTCATATCACAAAACCATGTTTAGAGAGTTTTTTAGCTTATCTGAAAGTTTCCCCACTAAATTTCATTTATTGTTCACTCCACTATAAGTACCAGAAAAGTAACAAAAATTACTATACTCAAAACATAAAAGTAGCAAAGTGAGGTAAACAGCAGATGCAAAAGTAATATGTTAATATAAAGTCTTGTGGAAAATGTCCTAAAGTACAAATTGCCTCAGTTTGTTACTTTATGTTTTCCGGTACATTCATATTTTACTAACATCCAAATCTGGAAACTGTGTAAGTATATTGCTTACTTCTTTATCCCAAGATCTTGTAAAACGGCAACTATCTGCATGAGCTATTCTCTGTCAGATCCTAATAAACAATACCAACAGTGATCAAAGCCAGTAATAGTTAATCCATTTAATCTTTACCTTGATAGATGGCACATCTGTTTATATGGGATAAGTGCCAGAGTTTTAATGCAACGTCGCTAAACAATAGATTAATGACAAGTCTAATTACTGATATAAATTGCTCCTTAGGTGGTCTTTTTATTTCATATTACTTTCAGACTGTTAGGAACGACTATGTTCTTAATATAGTAGAGTTATAATTTTATCATACCAAATACGCCTGCTAGAGTTATTAAGTAAATGTAAAAGCCTTTGGTATAATTTATTCTTCTTGATTTTGTAATAGTACTCTTGTTCCAGAGTTTAAACTATCATGATCCTGAAAGCAAAAATAAGTGAAAGTGACTTTATTTTCAGCCTAAAATTGAAAATATTGATCAATATAAATTGAAGTGGTAAATTTGGCAGTTGTTTTTTAGCCAGAATTTGTGTTCAGTGAATGGACCCTCCTGTGTCTTTTGAGCTCATGTAGCCACTTACCCTTCTTGCTGTTTGTCTAACAAAACATCCCTGTTCCTCCAGAAACCTTGATCTTTCTTCTGCCTGGAATGTCCAGTCTCCATTCCTTTGGTAGCTTTTGATCACTCACATCACAGCTCAAATACCATCTCAAAGAGAACTACCTGGAATGAACCTAACAGTGGTACCTTCCCAGAAGGCTCTGAATCCTGTTGTCTTGATCTATTTTATCGTTGTCATAACACTTGACATTATTGGAAATTTATTTGTTTATTATCTCTAAACCATTAGAGCTAAATTCAGTGAGAGCAAGGACATGATCTATCCTTAACTCTATTTCCAGCTGCCAGAACAACACTGCCCCCACATCATAGGCACTTGGTACATTGTTGGCATGAATCAGTGTCACAGCAATTTTAGAAAGTATCTAAGGAGACAAGAGAGGCATAGGTCTCTAGATGAAATGTTTATGCTTACACTCTTTCCAATGGAGATGTTACTTACAGAACTAGATATATAGCACTATACTCTTCAAAGTATACTTGAACCTCCTGGAACTCTTTGCTTGAGTCCAAACTGAAATATTTTAGGTAAGACCTGACATGACATTTCTTAATGGCACAAAATCCACTTGATTAGACCTGAGGACAGACTTTGTTGCTCTAAATTCCACATGTTGAAATAAGCTTCCTTAAAAATTCTTACTTCAGTGAACTAATTCTATTTGTTCTTTTGGTTTTGTTTGCAACTATTTAACAATAAGACTATGTGAAGATTATAACAACTATATTAAATGTCTTATAAAATAAACCATGTATGAATTTTCTATGTAAATTTATAATTAGTATTTTATGAGCAATGTCTTTTCTATTTCTTTTTCTTTTTTTTTTTTTTTTTTTTTTTGGACAGGCAGAGTTAGACAGTGAGAGAAAGACAGGTCTTCCTTTCCGTTGGTTCACCCCCTAAATGGCTGCTACGGCTGGCGCACTGCGCCAATCCGAAGCCAGAAGCCAGGTACTTCCTCTGGTCTCCCGTAAGGGTACAGGGCCCCAGGACCTGGGCCATCCTCCACTGCATTCCCGGGCCACAGCAGAGAACTGGACTGGAAAAGGAGCAACTGGGACAGAATCCGGTGCCCCAACCAGGACTAGAACCTAGGGTGCCGGCGCCGCAGGCGGAGGATTAGCCAAGTGAGCCATGGTGCCGGCCTCTTTTCTATTTCTTAAATTGGTATCTATGTGATGAAATTTGAGTAATCTTCAATACTTGATCTAGCTAAAATAAGAGGAGGCAAAAATACCAACATTTGTAATGAAAAGATAATAACTGCCACAGATTTTTGCAGAATACAAAAGGATAAAAATCAAATATTATAAACAACCAGTTTATATGTGCCTGTAAATATGACAGTTTAGATGAAATGGACAGATGCTTTAGAGAACAAAACTGGAGGCAGGTATCTGGCTGAGTGGTTAAGGTGCTGGTTAAGACACCCACATCCAGTATTAGAGTACATGCATTTGATACCCCTCTCCAACTCCTGACTCCAGCTTCCTGCTAATGCAGACACTGTAAGGCAGCAATGATGATTCAGAAATTAGATTTCTTACAGATCTCAGGATAGGAGATCAGTATATAGAAATAAATTACAGGCCGACGCCGCGGCTCACTGGGCTAACCCTCCGCCTGCGGCGCCAGCACTCCGGGTTCTAGTCCCGGTTGGGGCTCCGGTTCTGTCCCGGTTGCTCCTCTTCCAGTCTAGCTCTCTGCTGTGGCCCAGGAAGGCAGTGGAGGATGGCCCAGGTGCATGGGCCCTGCACCTGCATGGGAGACCAGGAGGAAGCACCTGGCTCCTGGCTTCGGATTGGCGCAGCACGCTGGCCGTAGCGGCCATTTAGGGGGTGAACCAATGGAAGGAAGACCTTTCTCTCTGTCTCTCTCTCTCTAACTCTGCCTATCCAAAAAAAAGAAAAAAAGAAAAGAAATCAATTACATTTCTATGTACTAGTCGCATATAGCTGGAAAATGATGTTAAAATTAGTTCTACATCAAAGAAATAATTAAAAATAGATGTAACATGTTAAAGGATTAGAAGATTCAGTAGGGTTCAAATGTCAAATTGGTCTAAAGATTCGGTTTTCCTAAGCAAAATCTCAGGAGGCTTTTTTTTTTAAATAGAATTTGACAAGTTATTTTAAAGTATGTATGTAAAAATCAGTCTTGAGAAACAAAAACAAGGCTGGCTAATTTACATTACCAGACTTCAAAAGTGTACTACAAATCTATGGGAATGATAAAGTTGTGATACTGACTGAAGTACAGACAATTCAATCAGTTGAAGGTAATAAAGAGTTTATACTTAAGACAGTCACTTAATTTTCAATAAAAGCATGAAATGAATAAGTGAGGAAGGAAGAATCTTCAAAACTGACACTAGGACAACATCATACCATCTATAAAAATGTATTTGAGGTGGTTTATACATCTGAACGTAGAAGTTAAAACCACTCATTAAGCTTGTGGGCAAAAACATAGAATACCTTCAGGCTGTAGGATAAGCAGAATTTCATAGGACACTGAAAGCAATAACCATGAAAAATGATAAATTAGTCTTCGCCAAAACTTTAAGCTTCAGTTCAAAGACACCATTAAAAAAATCAGTAGGGGGTTGGGGGAGTGAGGGTAGTATTGTGTTTTGGTAGAGACCCAAGCTACCACTTAGAGTGCTGGTATTCAAATATTGGAGGATGCCAGTTTATGCCCTGGATACTATAGTTATAATCCAGCTTCCTGGGAAGGCTTCCAATGATGGACCAAGTACTTGGGGTCCTGCAACCCATGAAGGAGACTTGGATAGAGTTTCTGACTCCTAGCATCAGCCTGGCTCAGCCCTTGCTGTTGGAACCATCTGGGGAGAGAACCAACAGTTAAAAGATGAATATCTATCTCTCTCACTCACATACACCCTCCTTCCCCACATGGGCCCCTGTACTCACATAGGAGACCTGGAAGAAGCTCCTGGCTCCTGGCTTTGGTGTGGCCCAGCTCCTGCCATTGTGGCCATTTGGGGAATGAAACACCAGATGGAAGATTCTCTCCACTCCCAACTCCTACCCTCTCTGTAACTCTGCCTTTCAAATAATTGTCTTTTTTAAAAAGGGAGATAATTAATTTATGCTTTAATTACAGCAATTTTCTTTTTCTTTTCTTTTTCTTTTTTTTTATTTAATGAGCATAAATTTCCAAAGTACAGCTTATGGACCACCATAGCCTCCTCCCCCCCGTATCTTCCCTCCCATCCACAATGCTCCCCTCTCCCACTCCCTCTCCCCCTCCCCTTCACATCATGATTAATTTTCTATTATCTTTATGTACAGAAGATCAATTTAGCGTATGTTAAGTAAAGATTTCCACATTTTGCTCCCACACAGAAACACAAAGTGTAAAATACTATTTGAGTACTAGTTATAGCATTGATTAAACACCTAAGAGTAATTGTGTATTAATTACAGAGTTCAACCAATAGTTTTAAGTAGAATATAAAATGCATCTTTTGTATTGTTGTGGCTTCCCCCCCGACCTCCCTCCCTCCCGTGGCCCTCCCCTCACCCACTTCCTCTCCCATCCCGCCCTTCATCACGTTTCATTTTCAATTACCTTCATATACTGAAGATCAACTTAGTATATACTAAGCAGGGATTTCAACAGGTTGCACTCACACAACCGAACCAGGTATAGGGTATTGTTCGACTAGTAGTGTTGTTTTTGAGTTTCATAGATAAACATATTAAGGACAGAGATCCTGCGTGGGGAGCATGAACCCAGTGACTCCCGTTGTTGATTTAACAATTGGCACTCTTATTTATGGTGTCAGCAATCACCCGAGACTCTTGCTATGAGCTGTCTAGGCTATGGAAGCCCCTTGAATTCACCAGCTCTGAACTTGTTTAGTCTAGGCCATATCACAGTGGAGGTTCCTTCCTCCCTTCAGAGAAAGGCGCCTCTCTCCTTGATGGCCTGATCCTTCTGCTGGGGTGTTGTTCACCAGGATCCTTCATTTAGATTGCTTTTGCCACCGTGTCATGGCTTTCCATGCCTGCGAGACTCTCATGGACCTTTTAGTCAGATCCGAATGTCCCAAGGGTTGATTCTGAGGCAGGAGTGCTGTTTTGGGCATTTGCCATTCTATGAGTCTGCTTAATTACAGCAATTTTCAAACAATTAACAAAAAATGGATGAAGATTTATTTCCTAGTTGACTTAAATTCATAGTTTAGGATTTTGTCTACATTTGATTATTTTTTAATTCCTTTTGTTTTCAATTTGCTTCCCATATGAGGATTGGTACAAATGACTGAAAGGTAGGTAGATTTTTTAATGTACCCAATTCAAAATACTATTGACAGTTTTATAATGAGTAGAAATATAAGTCTTTAAATTATTTTAATGCTTTATAAATAGAGGAAGGGAAAAATAAGGACATGCATATAATATAAAGCAGTTTTTTTAGAACATGTACTTGAAAACATGGTTGTAAAATATCATTGATATAAAAATTTATGAATAAAATATGTTTTGAACTCATGAACTTATTAAATGCTACTTTTATAATGTATATCTATTAAAAAGCTAGCTTTCTGCCAGCGCCGCGGCTCACTAGGCTAATCCTCTGCCTGTGGCACTGGCACTCCAGGTTCTAGTCCTGGTTGGGGCGCCGGATTCTGTCCCGGTCGCTCCTCTTCCAGTCCAGCTCTCTGCTGTGGCCCAGGAAGGCAGTGGAGGATGGCCCAAGTGCTTGGGCCCTGTACCCGCATTGGAGACCAGGAGGAAGCACCTGGCTCCCGGCTTCCGATCTGCACAGCGTGCCAGCTGCAGCTCGCCTGCCAAAGCGGCCATTTAGGGGGTGAACCAATGGAAGGAAGACCTTTCTCTCTGTCTCTCTCTCTCTCACTGTCTAACTCTGCCTGTCAAAAAAATAATAATAATGATTTAAATAAGTAGCCAGTATATATCTTATAAAAACAACCTAGCATCTGTTTTTCAGGTTGCTTTGAAAAACCCAGTAGACACACATGTAAATTCATGTTTGTAATCTTTTTAGCTGCAGAAGATCATAAGCAAACAAGATGACTTGAAGACTATGAAAATTAATGAAGCAGCAGAATGTCAGGTATGTACAAATAAACTAAATCTTTCCAAACAGATATATTTATAAGAACTGCTCTATCCTGTTTTTCCCAGTAAATATTTCCAGATAGTTGGTAAGATTTGTCACTTAGTTTTTCTTTTTAGTATTTTAAATAGATGTGTTATATTCATATGGTCCTAACTTCAAAATGATCACAAGAGTATGTAGATAGACATCATAAGTAAGAGTGTCAGTTGTAAAATCAACAACAGGAGTTACTGTGCACTTGCTCCACATGTAGGACCTCTGTCCTTAATGTGTTGTACTATGAGAATTAACAGTAAAACTTGTCTTCAAACAGTACTTTATACTTTGTTTATCTGTGTGGGCACAAACTGTTGAAATCTTAACTTAGTATAGGGTTAGTCTTCTGTATATAAAGATAATTAAAAATGAATCTTAATGAAGAATGGGATGGAGAAGAGAGTAGGAGGTGGGATGGGAGTTGGGGTGGGAGGGCGGGTATGGGGGGGAAGAACTGATATATTCCAAAAGCTGTACCTATGAAATTTATATTTAATAAATAAAAGCTTTCCAAAAAAAAGTATGTAGATAGAGCAGAATTTTCCTCCTCCCAGTTCCCCTGGGCAACAAGTAGTGTAAAGTTCCTGAGATGTTGTTTGCATATATGATGAATCTTCAAAAATTCATGGAAATGCATATCATGAACAAACTATGCATAGATTCAAGTATTTTTGCACCAGAATAAGATTGTCTTTTTATTCCATTTTCCATGAACTTTTTGTACCTCATGTCAAAAAATTCTGCCTTTGAGAAGGAGATTAAAATTGGAGCAGGTTAGGGTAATGTTTTGACAAGTGGGTAGGGTTGGGAGTGTTGATGCAGGTTGCAGTGTTAGAGTGGTCAGGGAAGGCCTCATGAAGAAAGCAGAATTTCAGGAAAGACTTGAAGGGAATCAATTATCTGAAAAAATCAGTTATCTGAAAAGTTATCTGAAAAATCAGTTATCTGAAAAGTGAATATTTCAGGCCAAAGGACCGTGGTAGGTGTCCCCAGCATGTTTAGCAACAGCAAGGAGAGTATTGTAACTGGAGTAGAATGGGGTATATTACAAGGGTACTTGAAAAAGTTTATGGAAAACTTACTAAAAAATAACTTGCATGGTAGGTGTTGTGACACAGCGAATTCAGCTGATGCCTGCCATACAGACATTCCATATCAGAGCACCTATTGGAATCCCAGTTGTTCCACTTCCAATCCAACTCCCTGCTAATGCACCTGGGAAGGTAGCAGAGGATGGCCAAAGTGCTTAGGACCTTGCCACCAAAGTGGGAGACTTGGATGGAGTTTCAGGCTCCTAGCTTTGGCCTAGCCCAGCTCCAGCCTTTGAGCCATAAAATAAATCTTAAAAATAATAATAATAATAATAATAATGTGCATTTTCCATTGACTTTTCCTTCATATGAATAGATGACTTTTCCTTCATAGATCTATATATTGTTTTTTCCATTTTTATATAAGCAGTACCATACTGAATATTGTTACATACTTGTTTTTTTTTTAAATCTGAGTATTGCCTCTCATTCTTTTTTAAATGGCTCCATACTACTTTGTTGTATGGATGTAGAAGTTGATATAACCATTCCCGTTTTTGAAGACATTTAACATTATAATGCTGCTAATCCTGTAGTTCATTATTTTATATATACGTGAATATATCTGAAGGATAACTTCCCAGAAATTAAATTTCTGAGTCAAAAATTATGACTGTTTCTAAGGTCTTTGATAAATATTGAAAAATGTCTTCTGTAGAATATGAACCAGTTTTCATTCCCATCAGTTATGCTTATCAATAAATATTCAAGGAAGAGGGTTAGAAGAGTGGGTGGGAGAGCAGGTACAGTGGGAAGAATCACCGTGTTCCTAGAGTTGTAATTATGAAATGTATGAAGCTTGTATTCCTTAAATGAAAGGTTTCAGTGGGGAGGAATAAAAATAAATAAATAAATATTCAATCAGAAACTTAGTTTATGAAATAATCTTTAATATCTAGGTATCTGCCAGCTCACTACTTGCACCACAAAGATCCTCAGCCTCGGATAACAGCACCTCCAAGATCACCAGTTTAAGGCTTCAGACTCACTAGACTCCTTCCTTCAGCAGTGGAGGAGTTCTAGGCTGTGGTACAACCATAGACAGAAAGGGATCTGAGGCAGCACCAGGCAAGAGGACCACACACTAAGAGCCGTAGGGTGCATGAGTTAGCATGACTACATGCTTCTCAGTTTCTTCTTTGCCTTTGATCAGATTTTAGAGCACTGAAATGGTTGTTCTTTGACCCTTTTGTCCAGCTCACTGCTTTTTGGAGAGAGGATTCATCAACCTCATTTGCTGGGAGGAAGTTACCATATTTTCATTGGCCAATTTGCATTGACTTTTTTTTTTTTTTTTTTTTGACAGGCAGAGTGGACAGTGAGAGAGAGAGACAGAGAGAAAGGTCTTCCTTTTGCCGTTGGTTCACCCTCCATTGGCCGCCGCGGCCGGCGCGCCGCGGCCGGCGCACCGCGCTGATCCGATGGCAGGAGCCAGGAGCCAGGTGCTTTTCCTGGTCTCCCATGGGGTGCAGGGCCCAAGCACCTGGGCCATCCTCCACTGCACTCCCTGGCCACAGCAGAGAGCTGGCCTGGAAGAGGGGCAACCGGGACAGAATCCGGCACCCTGGCCAGGACTAGAACCCGGTGTGCCAGCGCCGCTAGGCGGAGGATTAGCCTAGTGAGCCGCGGCGCCGGCCTGCATTGACTTTTAATGAACATGATTAGTAAGTTCCAAAAACAAATGTAGTAAACCAACATATATAGTTTTAGACATATGAAAAACAAAATTAGTATTTTGAAGAATCTACATGAATAAAGCTATAAACATTTTACTGAGAAAATGGAATATGGAAATAAATGTAAAGACTGGTTTTATTCTGAGGAATAGTAGCTTTGTAAAGAAGCCAATTCCCATTAATTTATGAATGCAACACAATCTGTTATCAACTGTAGAAACCGTAGGGGAGGAAACACAGAAAAGCTTCCACGACAGTAGATTTAAGGTGGTTTCTTAGATAAAAACTAAAACATAGGTAACAGGAGAAAAATGGGTTAAAGACATTATCAAGAGAGTGCAAAGACAAGCTACCACATGGAAGAAGATACTTGCAGATTAGAACTCAACAACAAAAAGACAAGCAACCCAGGTAAAAACTGGGCAGTGGGATTAAAAGACATTTTACAAATGTCTGTTACACAGCCAGCAAGCATATGAAAAGATGCTCAACACCATTAGCCATTACAGCAAGGCAGATGAAAGCCATAGTGAACTATAACAACATACCTGTCTGAATGGTAACATTTTTCAATGTTGGTAACACCAAATGCTTCCAAGGATGCAGAGAAACGGGTCGTTCATCCATTGCTAGTAGGAATGTAAAATGATAACCACCATTTCTGAAAATAGAAAAGCACTTTAAAATAGAATTAAAAGATAAGTTTATTTTGGTGCAGAAAATACTTCCCATGTATAATTGAAGACCCTTCATAGTATTGCACACCTAGGCTTCTGTCCCAGAGAAATGAAAACTTATGTGCATGAATATTCTAAGCATATATATTTGTAGTAACCAAAAACTGGAAACAGCCCAGGTGTCCTTCAATAGGTAAGTGGCTAAACTCTGGTAATCCATATCATGAAAACTGCTCTGCACTGCAAAGAAACTATTGATACAGCAGCAACCCAGATGAATCTACAGAGAATGGTGCTGAGCAAAAAATGCCAGTGCTAGAGGTTACACACCATATGATTCCATTTATATAACATTCTTGAAATGACAGAATTATAGAAATGAAGAATGGTGGGGGCAGGGGGTGGGAGCAACATGAGGAATCTGGATGTTCTCTGTGTTAACAACCTCAAGTTATGATACTGTACTGTAGTTTGGTAGGATGTTACCCTTGAAGGAAACTGAGTAAGGGTACAAGGTACCTTTTGTATTATTACTTAAATTTGCATGTAAATCTACAGTTACCTTAAAAAGTTTCAAACAGAAAAGGACTTTTGGGAAATGTGCATTTGTTCCTTAAGATAGGCATCTTTCTAGACTGTTTTTATATAATTTGTTCTTTTTCTATTTCTTGCTGCAGTGTCCTACCTAGTTGTCAGGCCATGTTTTCCTCATGCTTTGATCCAAACATCTCTATGCCCTGGTAGAGCCTAAATGAGATTTTCCTTGATACCCTTCCTGCCTTATCTGGAGCTAATTTATCTTTTTTCCTCCAGAGCTGCAGATAGTGCATTTTGACCCAGTATTCTGTAGACTGAAGAGGTAGAGAGACAAAGGAAAAGGGCACGCCCAGGGCTAATGCAGCTCTTAAGGAAACACCTAGGTCCTTTGCCTCTCTGTGATCCCATTAAATCTAGAGCACAACCACTTCACTCCTCTAAATTACATCCCATTCCACATGCTTCCAGTTATTCCCTGAGTTGAAAATCATGCCCTGAAAAACTGTCCACCCTGGAAACCCTTCCTTACTCTGCTCAAGGCCTGCTAAAGTGTGTAGGACCTTCTGCTGAGGGTTTCTATGACTTGTCTCAGGGATGTCTTACTCCATTAAGCTTCTTATTGCTAAATTGAAGGCATTAATAAACTCCTCATAATGCAGTAATCCCTTCTGTTTCTAAGAAAGTGGAATGCAGGTTTGGATTAGGAGCTAGGAGGAACCTCTCCACATCTGAACCTAGTGTTTTGTTCTCTGACAACTGTTTTCAAAACATTTGACTTGAATTTGTACCCTTTTTTTTTGTTTGGTTGATGCTGCTAATTGTTTAGCAGTTTTGTTTTTCATTTCATTGTTTATTAAGAAAGAAAAATCTGTGAATCTGCTTCACTACCCTTTAATGAAATTCTTACCTATCAATTTTATAATTAAGAAAAGCAAATGTATTTCTAACATTTCCTCAGAAGCTCAAAGACATTCCAGTGCTGCTTCATTATAAATAGCCTAGAGATCACATTTTGAAACAAAATTTGTTTCACCATTCTCAGCTTTGCCCAGGTCTAAAATTTTGCTTTCTACTGATGTCTACCTAGAGTATTTTAGCCCTTACTGATTTTTTCCAGATTAAGCAATGATATTTATAGGATAGTATTTTGCAGAGTAACAGAATGAATGACTACATCACTCTTTTCCAACTTTTTTCTTTTTTTAAAATTTTTCCTTGCTTCGAGAATAACTTCTGGACTTTGGGTTCCAGTTTACGGTTTCCAATTTTTTTGTTATTTATAAGTATTTGATACTATTGTGTAATTTTTTATAGGAATCAGTAGTGAAAGAACCTGAAATTAATACAACCCTTGAGATGCGTTTCTTTGGAAAAAAGGGAGACAGAAAACTTCACTATAAAGAATTTCGAAGGTAAATGTAAATATTTACATTCTTTTATAGAAATTAGATGAGTAAGAAATGAAGTAAGTAGGGGCCGGCACTGTGCCGTAGCAGGTAAAGCTACCATCTGCAGTGCTGGCATCCCATATGGGTGCCCGTTCCAGTCCCAGCTGCTCCACTTCCGATCCAGCTCTCTGCTATGGCCTGGGAAAGCAGTAGAAGCTGGTACAAGGCTTTGGGCCCTTGCACCCACATGGGAGACCCAGAAGAAGCTCCTGGCTCCTGACTTTGGATCAGCACAACTCTGGCCATTGCAGCCAACTGGAGAGTGAACCATTGGATGGAAGACACCCCCCCCCCCACCTCTCCTTCTCTCTGTTTAACTCTTTTAAATAAATTAATAAATAAATAAATAAATTAATAAATTTTTAAGAGAGAAAGAGGGAGGGAGGGAGGGGACCTGGCATTATGGCACAGCAGCTTAAGCCACTGCCCTGTGATTCCATCATCCCATATTGGAATGCAGGTTCAAGTCCAGGCTGCTCCACTTCTAATCCAGCTCCTTGCTGATGTGCCTAGGAAGGTAACAGAAGATGGCCCAAGTACTTGCTCCCCTCCCACACATGTGGGAGATACAGATGGAGTTCCTGGCTCCTGGCTTCAGCCTGGCCCAGCCCTGGCTGTTGCAGCCATTTGGGAATTGAACCAACAGATGGAAGAGCTCTCTGTCTCTCCCTTCTTCTGTTGCTCTGCCTTTCAAATAAGTACATGAATAAATCTTAAAAAAAAAAAGAAATGAATAAACTAAATATGTTCATTTCCTAGAAATATGGACCCTAAAGCTAAATGCTAATTGTGGATCTATTTAGTAGCTCTGAGTACTATACCTATATAACATATTCCTAAAGTTATGCTCCAGGTATTCTAACCTATTAATTAAAAAATTACCCATTTCATAGAATACAATAATTCCTTTTAGTAACATTATATTAACAACAGTGAACAGTTTATTCTTAATGGAAAATAAATCAGCCCCAACTTTACTTGAAATAGTAACCATTTATTATTTCCATGAATCTTTGGGGCTGTTGGGTGGTTCCTGGTCTTGACTAAATTTTTTTTGAAGGTTTATTTTATTTATTTGAAAGATAGCCACAGAGAGATGTAGAGACAGAGAGAGAGGTATTCCATCCGCTGGTTCACTCCCCACATGGCTGCAATGGCCAGAGTTGTGCTGATCAAAGCCAGGAGCCAGGAGCTTTTTTCAGGTCTCCCACATGGATGAGGGGCCCAAGGACTTGGGCCATCTTATACTGCTTTCCCAGACCACAGCAGAGAGCTGGATCAGAAAAGGAGCAGCTGGGACTATAACCAGCACCCATATGGGATGCCAGCACTTCAGACCAGGGCTTTAACCTGCTGTGCCACAGCACCGGCCCTTGACTAAATTCATTCTTGCATTGCAATCAGATGAGGGCTGGCTGACTGGCAGCGGGCTCTTCTCAGATGACCTCAACTGGGGCAACTTAGCTGTGCTCCACAAACTTTCTCATTTTCTAGCACAAGAGTTGGCAGATTTTTTCTGCAAAGGGCCAAACAGTAAAATGTTCTCAGTCACGACTGTCATATGTGTCTACTATTATGTGTAAAAGCAGCCATATACATATATGAGAACAATTGTGCATGTCCATGTTCCAGTACAGCTTTAAACATTAATTTTTAGCAACTTTTGATCCAGCCTGAGATCATTTATCTATCTGTAAGATGGGAATATAATGCATTATTTGAATATTGTAAGCATTAAAATACAATGTTCTGTTTACCCTGTTTGCCAATGTGAATAATGAGACAATGTGCTGCAGAACTAAACAGAGCCTTTGAACAACGCATGTATCAGAAAGCAGTAGAAAATGGGGGAAAAGATTGGTTTGGGAGGCAAGAGACCTGCCTTTCATTTAGCTCAGTGCAGTTTAATTAAAAAAAAATTTTTTTTGAGTGCATGCTGTGTACTATTATGTGTCAGGCCATGTCTCAAATACTAGGGATAATCCCTTCTGGGGACTGTGTAGTACATGTAGAAAACCATTTAAGTGTTTCATAGTGGGGGCCAGTGCTGTGGCATAGCAGGTAAAGCCTCTACCTGTGGCACTGGCATCCCTTTGGGTACCTGTTTGAGAGCCAGCTGCTCCACTGCCAGTCCAGCTTCCTGTTAATGCACCTAGGAAAGCAGTGGGAAGGTGGCCCAAGTGCTTGGGCCTCTGCACCCACATGGGAGACCTGGAGGAAGCTCCTGGCTCCTGGCTCCTGGCTTTGGATTAGCCCAGTTCTGGTCATTGCGGCCATGTGGGGAGTGAGCCAATGCATGGAAGACCCTCTTGCTCTCTCTGTAACTCTGCCTTTCAAATAAATAAATAAATTTTATTTTAAAATCCAAGAAATATGACTAAGATGTTAAAAAAAATGTAGTCAAATCTTCATAGAACGATAGGTATTTTCGTAGCACAGAACACTTAGTGTACCCTGTGTTGTAGGTTGGGAGTAGCTGCTGGGGCAGGAGTGGGGAAGGGGCCTTTATGAAGGAAGTAGCACCTAAGCTTAATTTGAGAGATGAGCAGAAATCAAACAGAAATACTTGATTTGGGCAGTAAGGCATTTGAGGGAAAGAGAATAGCAGAAGCAGACATGGAGGCATGAAGTGTATGATTTATAAAGGGAATTATGAACAATTGAGTAGAGCAGTAAGTATTAGGTAGTGACAGTGGAGACAGAAAGGTTTTGTACACCATGACACAGAGCTTGAATTAACTCAGCAATGACAGGCCCTGAAGAGTGACACCTGAAGAGACTTGGTCACAGATGCCCATCACCCCAGTAGCAGAATGAAGGATGACGTTTATGAGAGAGAAAGACCATATGAATATTCCAGAAAAGAAGTGAAAAAAGCCTTGAACTAGTGTAGTGGGAGTAAGGATTTTGAAGTGGGAGAGATTTCCAGACAGTTAAGAGATTTGAGCTCTGAGGTAGTGATTTGAGGAATGCAGAAGAATCCAGTCAAGATCCAAATTTCTGAACTGCATCCTAATGCCAGTCTACCACATAGCTAAATATCGCTGAGTAATTTAACCCCTCTAGGATTATTTTTCTCAATAAAATTTTATTTTGTATTTATTTTACTATTTGTTTTTTGAAACCACTCAAAAGAGATGGAGAGAAATCTCCCATTTTCTAGATAATTCCCCAGATGGCTGCAATAGCCAGGGCTGAGCCAGGCCAAAGCCAGGAGCCCAAAACAGTCTGTGTCTCCCACATGAGTGACAGGAACTCAAGTACTTGAGGTACTGCCTACTGCCTCCCAGGGTGCACATTAGTGAAAGAGTGGAATTGGGAGCAGAGCAGAGACTCTAACTCAGCACTCTGGTATAGGATGTAGGCATCCTTAATGGCGTCTTAACTGCTAAGCCACATGCCTGCCTCTGTACATAATATTTTAAATGTCTAGCTCTAGGTAGGCATCCATAATATAATATAAACACTAACAATGGAAGTAGGCAAAAAGGATGAACAAAAGAAAAACAACAGTAGAATCATAAAATAGAGCGAGGAACTAAGCTGGTACACAAAATGTAAACCTAACGGTCTGTATACTTGCAAAGAATAAACTAGGAATTGTTTTTAAAGATTTATTTATTTATGTGAAAGAGTTACACAGATAGAGAAGGAGAGAGACAGAGAGAGATGTCTTCCATCCATTGGTTCACTCCCCAATTGGCCACAATGGCCGGAGCTACACCGATCCAAAGCCAGGAGCCAGGAGCTTCTTCTAGGTCTCCCACGTGGGTGCAGGGGCCCAAGGACTTGGGTCATCTTCTACTGTTTTCCCAGGCCATAGCAGAGAGCTGGATTGGAAGAGGAGCAGCCAGAACTAGAACCGGCGCCCATATAGGATGCCGGCGCTTCAGGCCAGGGCGTTAACCTGCTGTGCTACAGCACTGGCCCCTAAACTAGGAATTTGACTCTCTAGCTTTCTGTTGGAATTTGACTCATTTGATTTCTGTTAGATAATATGAAGGGTACACATTTCACTGTGTCTCTAAATTCAAATGTTCTGATTTTGGTACTCCATAAGCACATATAATTTTAACTTGTAAATTAAAACTTAATAAAATTTAAAAAATCATTGATTCTACATAAGAGAATATCTGTTCCTTGTTATAAGGCCAGAAGAAAAATGTTCCCTTTAGTCCTCATAAAAGAACACAGTGTAACAGAGAATTGTGTGTTTACCTGATTACAAAAAGTCTAATGACACATTTCACAGGCTGTTCATATTACATGTATAAGTTTCTAAAATTCAACTTCTGGGTCTGGTGTTGTAGCATAGTGGCTGCTGCCTATGATGCTGGCATCCCACCTGGGTGCCATTTCAAGTCCCAGCTGCTGCACTTCTGATCTGGCTCTCTGCTAATGGACTGGGAAAGCAGTAGAAGATAACCCAAGTGCTTAGGCCCTTGCAACCCATAATGGCCATTTGAGGAATGAACTAGGAGATGGAAGATCTCTCGGCCCGCCTTCTTTCTCTGTAACTCTGCCTTTCAAATAAATAAATGAATCTTTAAAAAATATAGATATAACTGGGGCCTGTGCCGTGGCTCACTTGGTTAATCCTCCATCTGCAGCACCGGCATCCCATATGGGCACCAGGTTCTAGTCCTGGTTGCTCCTCTTCCAGTCCAGCTCTCTGCTGTGGCCCAGGAGGGCAGTGGAAGATGGCCCAACTGTTTGGGCCTCTGCACCCGCATGGGAGGCCAGGAGGGAGCACCTGGCTCCGGGCTTGGGATCAGTGCAGTGCCAGCTGTGGCGGCCATTTGGAGAGTGAACCAACGGGAGGAAAATTTTTCTCTCTGTCTCTGTCGCTCACTGTTTATAACTCTACCTGTCTAATAAAAAAAAAAAAAAAAGAAGAAGAAGTACTAATAATTAAATAATTAAATGCCAGAATTTAGAGTTTGGTAACAGTATGCAATGGGAAA